AAAAAAAAAAAAAAAAAAAAAAGAGACCTGAAGTATTTGCTGTCAGAATATAGGGGAACTTTGGAGAGCTAAATGGGTTAAGATCTTTAGGATGTTTTGCTAACCCCCATCCTTACCTCCTCAGTGGCCAGCTTTAGTTACTTTGTTAAAGTTTTATGGTTGGCAGATTCACATTTCTTCAGAGTTTGACACTAGGTTGAGGTTGGCCATGAACTAATACAATTATATTTCAGTTACACGATTATTTGCGCTCCTTGAGTGTCTCCACCCTCATGTTAACTCTGACATCTGCCCGAAATTCATTCATCGAATACATATTTGAGTGGCCTCCCCTCTTTCCGTTTGCTGGACAGCCCATCATTTTCCAAAGTCAGCCCCTAAACTCTTCTATGAGTTTCCTGACAACTCAACACAAAAATTCGCCCCTCCCTTTTTTGCGTGCAACCCCGCCTCCTCTTTTAATTGTTTGGCTGTCATTCCTCTTGTATAGTGCTCCTTGCAATCAGGACTGGTGCTCTACATATTTGCTAGCTCGGTGTATGGCACGAAGTAGATGCTCAGTAAATGTTGATTGAACGAGTATTCTGTGCATCTCGGCGATATCACATCCTGCGTGCCGTGGCGTCATTCTGCATTCCTCTGCGGTAGGCGCAGATCCGGAGGGTTTAAGTGGTTGTTTATAACATGCACCGAACATATCCAACGCAGGCTGTGGCTTCAGACCGCCCACAAAAAGCGCGGTTGGTGGGAGTGCGGTCTCGAGGTCGGCTGGCAGCTGGGAAACTCCAGCTCGGGGCGGAAACACGCTGCTTGGGAGGCGCGGGCGCCTAGTGATTCTGGGAATACAAGGTGCGAGGGAGGGAGCTGGTGGCTCTCTTATCGCGGTGTTTCCTCTCTCTTCGCTCCCGGGGGGAGCTCTCGCGGGGGGAGCTCTCGCGAGAGGAGCAAGAGGAAGATGGCCGTGCCCTGTTTTTCGGTGTGAGGCGGCGACCGTAGCTGCGACGGCGAGGCTGAGATCTTGATGTCGTGGGCACCTGAGCTCTAGCTCCCCCCAGCGAGCGCGCGTCCCTTCGTGCCTAGGCGAGAGCCGGCTCTTCCCCGGGAGATGCGTTTGTCCCAGGCTCGGGGGCGCAGTGGGAGTTCATGCTGCGCTGGAGGCTCCTGGCCACCGCTCTAATCGCCTTGGGCCGCCGCAGCGCCAGCTCAGTCGCCAGCGGTGAGCCTCCCGATTCCCCGCCTTGCCCCTGGCGGCGGCGATGACCGGGGAGAAGATCCGCTCACTGCGGAGGGACCACAAGCCCAGCAAAGAAGAAGGGGACCTGCTGGAGCCCGGGGATGAGGAAGCGGCGGCTGCCCTTGGCGGCACCTTTACCAGAAGCAGGATTGGCAAGGGCGGCAAATCTTGTCATAAGATCTTCAGTAACCATCACCACCGGCTGCAGCTGAAGGCAGCTCCGTCCTCCTCCAATCCCCCCGGCGCCCCGGCTCTGCCGCTGCACAATTCCTCCGTGACTGCCACCTCCCAGTCCCCGGCCCTTCTGGCCGGCACCAACCCCGTTGCTGTCGTCGCGGATGCAGGCAGTTGCCCTGCACACTACCCAGTGCACGAGTGCGTCTTCAAGGGGGATGTGAGGAGACTTTCCTCTCTCATCCGCACGCACAATATCGGGCAGAAAGATAATCACGGTGAGGAGTGCTAGCCCCTCTCCACCTCTCTCCTTCCCTGAGCCTAGGGTGTGCCTCCCCAGGCTTCTGGAATCCTAGGCCCCCCCTCCAGCAGACTCTTCTTTTCTCTCCTTTGCCCATCATCCGGGCCATTCGGTAAATCATGACCGACTCAGTAATAGCGTGCCAGTGGTCAGGGGGTTGGTTCTTGTGGGTGCAAAGGAATGTATCCTCCTTGCCCACTTCAAAGTTTCTCGTGAGAAGCTGTTTTGTTTGAGACAGGCCTTCGATTTGCTGATTCTGGACTGCCAGAAATTTTAGGTTGCCTCTCACCCAACCTGGTTTTCTCCCGTTGTTTATGGAGCTATGTATTTTTTATTTCTCTCCCCTTCCCCCCACCTTGGCATTTTAAATTTTGAACACATAAATTGCCCTCCTCCCTTCATTACTCACAACAGATCCCATCTTGACGGCAGCTGGTTGTGATTCTGCCTGCCACCAGGTTGTTTCTTTTTTGTCTGCTTATAGTAAACTTAGAATGTTTGATTTCTGAAAGCCACACGGTAGAAATTTGTTGGTATTTGATACCTAGAACAGTTAGACTTCTCAACAGCCGATTTTTGTTGGAGTAGGGATTTGATGTTTTGCTTGTTTTAAGTAGATAATTGCTAATAGTAATGTCTAATCTTGATGACTGTGACTAAAAATAGAGTTATGATTTTCATAGTAATTTTATCTTAGTCTATATTAACCATTTCTTTTTGCCTTGTAAGCTCAATTTTTTGTTTAATTCTAAAAAATCGTGTGACTGAGTTAACTTTTAAGCAACAGTAAATTTATTAATGAAAACTAATGTGAACACTGACATTTTAACATTTAATAGGCCGTTTTAAACTGGGTAGTTGGCACATATTGTTGATCGCTCTGTTTTTAATATGAAAAGTGTATACATTCAGTTAGAACACGCTCAACCAACTTTGTGCTCAGAATGATATACGTATCAATGAAATATTTGCCTGTGAAATAAGTTCCCTTAATTCCATCGGATTGTAGGCTTTTTAGGACAAAAATTCAGATAAAAAAAGAGTAAGGTTTCTCTTGGCTGTATAATTCTCTAACAACTGCGTTTGTTTTCCGAATTTACAATGTTGTAATGTAATAAAATCACCACCTATCATTTATCGTAAATCCCCAAAAAAGTATCTTAAAGTTGCAGCCAGTTTTTCATTCTTACATTTAAATTACTTAATCATTTTATTATTATAGTTGAAGCATAATGTTGTTTGTTGATTGATGATGGTAATTTTATTCTAACCCTCTGGAAAACAGTTGTTAGTGGAAGATGGGTTGTAGCTTCAGTTTAGTAGTCAATTATTAGGAAGTTTTTCAAATTTGGTCTACATAGTAGCCATAGTTACATTACCTTGAAATATCCCTGAAACAGATAAAAAGTTTGAGAGTTAACTCCCTTTGAAATAAGAGATGGATGAGTATCACTGAAGGTATTGAATTACAGGATTATTGGGCTTCCCTGTCTTCAACCCAACATTTAGGAGTACATTTGTTTAAGTTCAAATTCTGTTCAAAGTAATTAGAATCCTATATACTCTTAAACTCTTGTTCTTAGCCCACTGAAATTCACTTTTTTAAAGTAAGGTTTTTTAATTGTGTGTAGCTGACCTTATATCGTTGATGTTTCTGATTAATGTAACCAGTGGTTCACATACCTGGGGTAAATATAATTGTTTTCCCCCCTGCAATGTGTACATGCTCATCTCCTACAGTGAGGCGTCCTAGGAACAGTGGCTTCAATTTAATGTGCTTCTTATTTAGTCTTTTTTTCTCCCATAGCCTCATAAATTTTTCGGATACGTTATTACTTTTAGTCTTGATCACTTAAACAAAAGCAACTGGGATAGGTGCGGTGGCTCACACCTGTAATCCCAGCAGTTTGGGAGGCTGAGGTGGATGGATTACCTGAGGTCAGGAGTTCAAGACCAGCCTGACCAACATAGTGAAACCCCGTCTCTACTGAAAATACGAAAATTAGCCTGGCATGGTGGTGCATGCCTGTAATCCCAGCTACTTGGCAAGCTGAGGCAGGAGGATCACTTGAACCCGGGAGACGGAGGTTGCAGTGAGCCGAGATCGTACCATTGCACTCCAGCCTGGGTAACAGGGACTCGGTCTCAAAAATAAAAATAAAAATAAAATAAATAAATAAAAGCTGTATATTCTCTTTGGATTGCTTTAACATAAATGCATAGCAGAATAATACACTCATACAGGTACATAGCAGAGCCAGACAATTATACCATGTATTACATAGTTTTATGTTCATCATAAGGATTCCTTTCCCAACATGGTGACAGTGATGATTATTGTCCTTATTATAGATACAATTTATCCAGTAGGTCAGCAGGGTGCTAAGTGTTTACATACATTGTAACATTTAATCCTCACAGCAGCCCTGCAAAGGAGTGCAGTGGAATCATCTGGTCTTGCTGTAGTCTCTGCCTCCCAGGTTCAAGCGATTCTTCTGCCTCAGCCTCCTGAGCAGCTGGGACCACAGGCGTGTGCCACCATGCCCGGCTAATTTTTGTATTTTTAGTAGAAACTGGGTTTCATCGTGTTGGCCAGGCCGATCTAAAACTCCTGGCCTCAGGTAATCCACCCACCTCGGCCTTCCAAAGGGCTGGGATTACAGGCATGAGCCACCATGCCCAGCCCAAAGCAGATAGTTTTATACTCATTTTAAAAATAAGAAAAGTAAAGCCTAGAGAGGCAAGGAAATGTCACTAAAGTTACATAGTGTAAATCTCAAAGCTATGAATCATAGCAAGGACTCCAAAGCATATCATGAACCTCTTTGTAAGTATTTCTATTGATTGGGACCCACTATATTGCAAGGAAGTCAATTCTCATAATGTGCATTTGGGGTTTTATAGCAAAGTTCTTTAATATATTTTTTTCTCATTCCTTACAAGAGTGTTGTAAAGAGATTCTACCATTGGACAGCTCAGGTTTTTCTGTGGAGCCCAGATCTCAGCCCTGTTTGTTACTTTTTTTAATATAATGGCCCAAATAAATGGGCTACTTTGTCCACATGATAGCCCTTTAGATATTTGGCAAGATTACCTTCAGGTTAAATATTCCTAACTTTTGTATCTATTCCTCATCACATTGTTTGTAAAGTATTTAGAATAGTCCCCGAAACATAGTAAATACTATATGTGTGTTAAATAAGTAAATGAAAATCTTCGTCATTGTTTAGTAGAACTTGTTTGTTAATTCTTCCCTTAGAAAGATGGTGCCCAGAACTAACCTTATTGCTGGAGATATATTAGCCTCGTTAGCAAAGACAACAGGGAGACTATATTGCTGTAAAGCAGCACACAGTTATGCAGTGCAAGAGTATGTTAATTAATTAATTTATTTTTTGTGATGGAATCTCACTCTGTTACCCAAGCTGAAGTACAGTGGTGCAATCTTGGCTCTCTGCAGCCTTCATCTCCTGGGTTCAAGCACTTCTCCTGTCTCAGCCTCCTGAGTAACTAGGACTACAGGCATGCACCACCACACTGGCTAATTTTTATATTTTTGTATTTTTAGTAGAGATAGGGTTTCACCATGTTGGCCAGGCTGGTCTGGAACTCCTGACCTTAAGTGATCTGTGCATCTCAGCCTACCAAAGTGCTAGGATTACAGGCATGAGCCACCGTGCCTGCCCAAGAGTATGTTAATTTTTAAATTATGTTTTGTTCTCAAGTGATCTGCTGTCTTTCCATTCTATCCCTTCTTCTATTTATTTATTTTTTTAACCTCAACAAAGGACTTTAGCATTATTACATTTTATTTTGTTAGTTTTTTTTTTTTTTTTTTTTTGAGACGGAGTCTCGCTCTGTCCCCCAGGCTGGAGTGCAGTGGCGCCATCTCGGCTCACTGCAAGCTCCGCCTCGCCGGTTTACGCCATTCTCCTGCCTCAGCCTCCCCAGTAGCTGGGACTACAGGCGCCCGCCACCTTGCCCGGCTAGTTTTTCGTATTTTTTAGTAGAGACGGGGTTTCACCGTGTTAGCCAGGATGGTCTCGATCTCCTGACCTCGTCATCCGCCCGTCTCAGCCTCCCAAAGTGCTGGGATTACAGGCTTGAGCCACCGCGCCCGGCCATT